GACTTGTTGAGGGATGACGGCTTCCAACGTAGACTCTGGATTCCTGTTCTCTAGAGTCTTGTCTGAGTTTTTTGTCTCTTCCCCTGAAGACTTACGGAAGTGTGTTATTTCCCACGACTGTTATCATATTCTCTGTGTCTCCTTGTACTTAAAGATTTCAAAAAATTGTACAGATGAAATACCAAAACAGTCTTATTTTAAAAGATCCAAATGGTAATCAAGAAATAGGATCTTGCCCTGGCTGGTGTGGCTCTGTGGATTGAATGCCAGCCTGTGAACTGAAAGTTTGCCGGTTCGATTCCCAGTCAGGGCACATGCCTGGGTTGAGGGCCAGGTACCCATTAGGGGGCATGCGAGAGGCAACCAATCGATGTATCTCTCACACATCAATGTTTCTCTCCCTCTCTTTCTCCCTCCCTTTCCCTCTCTCTAAAAGTAAATAAGATATTTAAAAAGAGAGAAAGAAAGAGGACCTTGCCCTGCCCTCACCCTGGTGTCCCTGTTCATGGTGTGATTATGTCCTTGAGGGTTGGTTTTTTTCCTGTGCATTTACATAGAAACTTTGTGACATAAATGAAAATATATTACCCAGTTGTTTAATAAGCTGCTTTTTCAAAGCCTGCTTTTATGTCTCCTCCTTAAACCGTGTCCCTGGCTCCTGCACGTCTCGCCTTTGTCCTGGCTCTGCCGTCACCCTTGGCGAGGGCTCTCCAGGCGGCAGCAGCTGTGGGTGATGCGAACTTGAAATGGGTATGAGGAGGCTTCATTGGCCCCATTTCGTTAGGAGGTGCCGGATTGGAGACGTCGTGGCGCCGGCCCAGCTCAGCCAGCTCACCTGTGTCTGGTGGAGCGGCGAGGCATCGCGGGTCCCCACCACGTTCTCCTGCCTCCACCCCGATCCGATGAGGTGGCGCTCTGCCCTTCGGGGAATGGCGGCTGGCCCCTCTGTGCCTGCGGCTGGGCAACTTTGGCAGGTCCCCTTGGCCCAGGCCCTGGGGCTGCCTCTCTCGGTCTCCCAGAGGGGCCCTGGCTCTAGGACCCGTCAGAGACCTTCTCCAGGCTCCCTCAGAGAAGCGGGCGGGCCCCCACCCACCGGGAGGCAAGTGAAGAGCCAGCTCGCTGCCTGCCGGCCAGGCTGCCCTCGGCTCCTGCCCAGGGTGGGGCTGGGTGGTAGGGAGTGGATTGGGCCGGCGCCTGCTGGGAGCCGTGGAGGCTCACTCCGTCCTACAAGGCCTCCCTGCCTGGAGGCCATCGGGGACAGCCTTGGCGACCTCAGGGCACATGCGGGCTCCATGGGCGGGAGTCAGGGCAGGGCAGGGGAGGGAACTGGGCTCTGGTGGGCGAGGAGAGGCCCTTACACCCGCCCCCAGCTCCTGCCACGGTGGCTCTGGCTAGCAGGCTTGCCCTGGGCTCTGCCCGCTGAGGGGCCGGGAGGAAGGCGCCCCAGGCCTGGAGCCCAGGACCTTATTCCACATCCAAGTTCAGCCACTTGCTAGTTGGGGACCATGCCGTTTAGTAGGTGACTGGCCTCTCTGAGCATCCAGGTCCTCGTTGAGCTGCTGCTTGGGTGCCCTCCCCGGCCTCCCTCGGATCCCCGCCCCCCCACCCCCATCCCCCAGAGAGTCCCTGGGGAGAGTGCCCTGGTGCCGGGTGTAGATCCAAGGCCTGTGACTGGGCAGGGGCCTGGTTTTGGCTGCTCACACGTGGAGCGGATGGAAAGCAAGGAAGCCAAGCCCTACTCAGCCCCTGGCAGGCGGTTGGACTGTGCGGCTCTGCTCCTTGTTGGCGGTTGGCCTGAGGCTGCCCTCAGCCCTCGGCCTGGTGGGTTTGGGGAAGATGGGCGCCCTCCCCCTCCGCCTCCTGCTCCAGGGCCTGGCCAGGGGCAGTTAGACTCGCTGGGGAGGGACACGCGCTCTGCTGGGATTGCAGAGTTTGTCAGATACACACTGGAACCTGCCATTTCGTGTGTTCACAGAGAATAAATGCAACCCAGACAAAAGCAGAGATGAGAACCATGCAGCAGGGGGGTGACCGCAAGAACATCATCCGAGACCCCGGGTCCAGCCATGTTTAAGGGGAAGATCCCTTCTGGAACCACCCCCGCCCCTGCCCCGCCGACACCACCCCAAGGCTAGATGAAACTGTCACCAAACCTCCCGGTTGCCATGGTATAGAAATCTGTCGATGAAACTAATCTCTAATGGATGCTCTCCAGTGGCATAAAGCAGGGATGAGTGGCGGTCTCAGGCCGGGGGCAGTGGTGGGGCAGGGCGGGACGTCCCGGGCTCCCTGGGAAGTTTCTGGATAGAGAGACACATCTGTTCATGGCCTTGGTGAGACATGGCCAACACGGGTCAGAGGTCGTTGGACTTCACACGAAACGGCTGCATTTTACTGTACGTAACTCAGACTGCAGTTAGACCAATGAAAACGATTTTTAAAAGCCATCCATCCGAGTGGGTAAGCGTTCTTCTGCATTGCCAGGAAACTTCGCGCTGGCATTTCGACCCACTGAGCAGAGTTTTCCATGAGTCTAAACTTTGTGAACTGTGCCCTGTTGTTTTCTCTAAGCCCCCACTGGCTGCTTTCCAGCCCACCCCCCTTCCCCGCTGGCTTAAAATATGTTTTGCGCTTGCACTCGGGTGTCCTGATTTGGGAAGGCCTCTGCAGTGTGTTTTCATGGCTTTGGCCTCGTCGGCACGTGTGACAAGCACATGGGACCTGGCTTTCCCCCGCACAGAGAGGCCGGGCCACGAGTGCGCCGTTTCTCCGTCCTGCCTCCCCCATGCCGCCCGTGGTTCCCGGGAAGGAGGGGTCCGCCGTGAACCAAGTTGTACTTACGCCAAAAGACCTTGGGCTCTGAAAATCTGGCGTACAATAGAAAACCCAAGTTATCGCAAAACCCCAGCGGGCAGAGGGTTCGAGAAAGCTGGGTGGGTGCCAGGCGGGCAGCCGCTGGGAAGCTGTGCTCTCGCGAGCCGGGGAAGACGGCAAGGGGCCTGGGCGTCCAGGGAAGCGAGGCGGTCGCCGAGTCTGGGGGCGGTGATGGGGCTGCAGCCAGGGCTGTCCGCTGCGTGGGGCTGACCCTGGACGACAGCTCCACCCTCCCGTGAGCGCGGCTTCCGTGGCAGGCGCCACCCGTTGCCACCACGGAACCTGTTGTGAAGATCCAATGAGATTTGTAAGTGGAGCTCTCAGCACAGGGGCCAGGGCTCACAGTAGGTCCGCGATAGGTGGCAGTCCCTGACTTAATCACCTGTGCCCGGCATGGACGGTCCCCAGGAATGTCTCTCCTTCTGTGGCCCCATGTTCTCCCTTCCCCCCGCCTCGGCCCCAGAGCCTGGCTGCAGGCCTTGAGGAAACTGAGGCACAGCACGACTGAGGTCCCGGCACCGGTGGGGGGTGGCCCCGCCTCCCCGAGGCTTACCCTCGACTTCCCTTGACTTCCGCTGCTCATCCCTCACATTGACTGAAAGAGTGGGCTTCTCCTCTTGTCCATTTTTGTAGAGAGTGGTGATAGCAAGTGTGATAAAGGGCAGAGCTCTGCCCCGCCGCCCCCCACCCCGCACCCTGTGTGTCCTGTGGGGGTACAAGCAGGGCGTAGCGATGCCCAGAGCAGCCGGGCAGCGCGCTCTCTTTGTCCAGCTCCCTAGAACCTCCTCAGTCCGAAGGGCCGTTCCCTCTGCCCGAGAGGCAGCTCTGTTGTTCTGTGGGCCCGCCGTGGTCAGCAGGGAACAGCTGGGTCCCTGGCTCCTGACACCGTCAGGGCAGAAATCTGTGGCGCTGGAGGCCCGCGCCTCCTGCCTTTACCAGACACCCAGAAAGAAGGCGGCTTGGAGCAGGCGTGGCACTGGGGGCCCAGCCACGCTGCCTCGGGGCGGGCGGTGGGGGAGGAGGGCGGCCCACTGTCCCACCACCCCTGCATGGCAGAGGAGGTTGGGGGAGTGGCAGAGGCCTGTGGCTGCTGGCTGCGGCTCAGGCAGGTGCTCGAGCCACCCCCTCCACCACCTGGGAGCGGGCGGCAGGTGCCTGGTTCCCCAGGGCCTGCGGGTGCTGGTGGGAGGGCAGGGCTGCCCCCGAGCCAGGCTGTGGTGTTCAGCACACAGGAAGGGCCCGCCGGCTGGGAGCGGCCCGGTTCCTGGGCTTGGCCCCCCGCCCTCCCAGGCCTGGCGTTGCTAAGGGCAGGCTGGTGTGCACACCAGGCCTGGCCCCCCACCCCCCTCCAGGCCGGGGATGTGGGTGGCAGGCAGCCCTCGCCCACCAGGCCTGGGCGCTGAGCCTCGGCAGGGAGGCCCCCTCCAAGCTCCTGGCAGGGGTGTGGGGGCAGCTCCCCACAAGGGAGCAGCGCTGGAGGCCTGGGAAGGGGGCTCCCGGGGAAGAGGTGGACTCTAGGCACTGAGGACCGGGGCCTCCAAATGGCCCCCGGTCACCCTCAGGCCGCTTCCAGCGTGGGCCTCATGGAGGGGCCCGGCCTTGGCTTGAAGCAGGGCGGCGCCGGGCCCAGGGACTGGCCTGCCTCAGGGAGCCTGGACAGGGAGCAAGAGGAGAAGCGCAGCTCCCGCCCCGGCGCCTCCGTGCGGACACACTGTGCTCCTCACAGGCGGGGGCTGTAGTAGCACAGGGCCTGGCACCCAGTAGGTGCGCTGGAAACTGAGGTCCCCAGGGAGAGCAGGGGCCTGGGTGGGGGAAGAGGGCCCTGGAGGACACGTGGAGGGCAGCGGGGCTGGCGGACGACGCAGCTCACTCTGTGCGGGTGGACCCCGGCCCATGGGACAGCACGTGGGGGCCGGGGGGGCGGGCAGAGCCCCCGGGAGAGGAAACACAGGAGCAGGAGTGAGCAGGCTGCGGGGAGGGGCGCCCGGAAAGGCTGCCGCGGGGCTCCAGCCGCCCAGGGCGGCTCCTCGAGGAACCAGACCACGGAGAGGACGGGGGCAGTTAAGATACAAAATTTATTGATGTACATTTATAGTCTTCTTTAAAACTTCCTCTGGCTACGCTGGGCCGCTGTGCTTGGAGGTGGGCGGGCATGGCCCGGTAGAGCCAGCGCCCACGTTTGGGTGGGCTCGGGGCCCAGAGACTGCGTGGGTGGCCTGCAGGCGCCGAGGACCAGTCAGAGAGTAGCCAGGACGCGGCGCCTGCCCCGGGAGGCTGCCGGGCTGGCTGGCGCGGAGCCAGAAAAGAAAGCGACCTGCCCACGGTGGCCGAAGGCCCTTCCCGCCTCTACCTGCCCGTGGTGACCACTGGATTCATCCAGGGGGCAGGTGACCCCGCGCGCTCCCCCAGACAGCACCGTCCCACGCGGGTTGGCCGCCAGCGTCCCCTCCAGAGGGTGCAGTGGCGGGAACAGGTGCTGCGACCGCGGAGAAAGGCCGGTGGCCCGGTGGTGACAGTGGGGGCTGTGCCGTTTTCAAGGAGGGCTCCCTTCAAGGGGCAGGAGTGGGCGGGGCTTGGCAGCCCCTCCCCTCCCCTCTCCTGACCCGCCAGGGGGAAGGGGCGTCCACCGCCTGAGGACACTGTCTGTGCTGTGCGTGGGTCACTGACGGAGGAGAACGGCTGCCGGGCGCCTGGCGGGGCCGCGGGGTCTGTCGGCAGGCGGCTGCCCGGCGTCCTGGTCACCCACAGAGCCTCCCGCCCGGGGGGGAGAAGGAGGCCTGAGCGGCAGGAAGCAGGCATTTCTCCTTGTACTGGGCGCAGGGGCAGCTGCCCAGCTCCTGTCCCCAGCGGGGGGTCCCTGGAGGTCCCGGCCCCTCAGGACGCGTTCCCAGGGGGGCCCTGCATCTCCATGGTGACTGTGTTGGGCGTGCCACCCCCGACCTCTGCCAGCTCCGCGCCGTCCCGCAGGGCCCGCTGGAAGACCACCCTGAGGGGCTCCCACAGCCGCTGCGACTTGTCCCTGCCGGCCAGGAAGTAGACGATGGGCTTGGCGCTGCAGTGGATGCAGATGCACAGGTCGGTGACGTACTCGGGGAACGGGGCTGGGATCTGGAAGACCCAGAAGAGGAACCAGTCGATGCCTAGGTAGATGGAGGACACGAGGAACACAGAGACCAGGGCCAGGACGACATGGTTGAGCTTGGCCGAGCGCTGGCGCCGCCGGGCACGGCACTCCACGTGCACGATGAGCGCCAGGCAGGGCAGCACCATCAGCGGGCAGAAGACCAGGAAGAGCAGGATGCCCAGGAAGATGTCCATGTGCCTGCAGGCCGCCCCCGAGGCCTGGCGGCTCAGGAACACGCAGAAGTAGTTGTGGACGCCGGTGACCAGGAGCGACAGGGTCCAGAGCAGGGCGCAGACGACGGCCGGCAGGCGCTTGGGCCGCTGGCGCCAGTACCAGGCGGGGAAGACGACCGACAGGCAGCGCTCTGCGCTGATGGCGGGCAGGAGGCTCACGCCGGTGATGAATGTGCAGAGCCCCAGGATCCGGAACACGGCCCGCACGTACTCTGCAAAGGTGCCCAGGAAGCCCCCTGTGTTGAGGGCGGAGAGCACGGCCTTGCTAAAGAGGTAGCCCACGTCGGCGCCGGCCAGGTGCAGGAAGTAGATGGAGAAGGGGCTCCGCTTGATGGAGAAGCCGAAGAACCAGAGCACCAGCCCGTTGCCCACCAGCCCGCACAGACAGAGGAGCAGGAAGACGTAGTTCATGACGGCCGGCGGCGGCGGCGCGGCAATCTGCTCCATGGTCAGGAAGCCGCGGCTGTACAGCTCCGCTGCCTCGCTCGCGCCCGGGCACACCTGCGCCGCACGGAGGGAGAGGAGGCACCTGGTGAGGCCGGCCCGCCCTGCCCCGCCCCTGCAGCCAGGAACGCTGGTCCTCGTTAGGATCCCGGACCCGGAGCGCCATTGGCCCCGGAGCAACTACTCAGCCCCATCCAGAGCAGATGACACCTCTGACTCCGCTCTATGACCCAGACTCTGCAGCTAGCAGCCGACAGGAGTGACAGTGAGCATAACCCATCATCACTAGGAAGGGCACTAGGCCGCCTCCCTGTCACCAGACACATGCCCGGAAATGTCCACCCATGCACAGGGAGGATAAGGGCCTTTCCAGAAGGAGGGAGGCATGACCAGGGAACGCACGCTGCGTCCTAGGTTGCGCAGCGGCCCTGGTAGCAGCGGCAAGGGCGTTTCGGGGAGGCCTGCGTGAGTGCCGACCCTGTGCAGGTGGCGGCACTGCTTCACGAGGAGAACGGGCTGCGCTACGTGCGCGGACGTCCTTGCTCTTTGAAGAAGCAGGTTACTGGGGGGCAAAGTGTTTGGTGTCTGCAACTTACTTTCAAATAGTTGTGGGAGGAAAGGTCCAGCAAGAGAGAGAATGCGGAGAAAGGGAAAGAGTGAGCTGCCGGAGAGTGTGTGCTGTGCATTTACTCTTGTTCCAGCTTTTTTGTACACTTGCAATATGTCACACTAAAATGTGAAAATATTTATAAAAAATAAAATCCTGTCTGCCCCCTGCGGGTGTGGCTCACGGGGTGGGTGTCGTCTGCTAAACTGAAAGGTCACTGGTTCGATTCCCAGTCGGGCACATGCCTGGTCCCCGGTCGGGTTGCGTACTTCCTCAGTTACAAAAACCGAAGAGTGGACCTGGCTCCTAGCGGGACCAGAGAGACCTGGCCACCAGGAGGTGGGTGGCTGCTCTGCCCCAGCCCTGACCACCCTTCCCTGTCCCCAGAGAAGCCAGGACCCCAGACTGTAAGGTGACTTTCCTGATCTTTAAATGTTCACATTAAAAAACACTGCGTGGGCCCAACAGAACGGATGCTCCACCGCCCACACCTGGGCAGGCATCACTAATCCATCTCAGCACCCATCCGTCAGCTCAGCACTCTTCACTGCACAGCCCGCACCCCGCCTGGGCCCCAGCCCCCACCGTCCCCCCCCCCCCCCCCCCCCCCCCCCGCCGAGGCTGGGTACCAGTTCCCACTGCTCATGACTCCCCGAAACAAAACAGAGCACGCGGGAAGGCTCTTAGGGCAGGACAGCAGTGCCGCCTTCCGGACGGCCCCCAGCTCTGGCGGAGAGCTGGGTCTGGAGGGGCTGCTCCCGGGGCCTGACACCCGTGAAAACGTGAGGGGCCTTCTGAGCCAGTTCAAGGGGATCTACAAATGGGGGCCGGAGGGTGCTGGCCAGACTTTGCAGACGCGCTTTCAGGGGGTCCTAGTCACCACCCATCACCCGCTAAGATCATTGATTGGCTCAATGCCTGCCTGCCTCTCTGTCTGTCAGCCCCCAAGCCCCGTACTGTGCCCTTTATTCAGCCTTTTCTGCGGGAGGTTCGGGCCACCCCAGGCCACGGAGCAGCCCCTTGACAGTCTCCTCCTCCTCTCAGCTGGGAAACCAGACCTAGCAGTCCCTGAGGCGGGGGGCCTACACGGGCCGTGGAGGACCAGCCCCAACGCCGGGAGGGAGCCGGGCTGCGGGGGCTGGACCCGACGGGCCGGGTCACTCCGTGCCTCTGCAGGCTGGAAAAAGCCTGCAATCCCACGCTCGGAGTCAGAGCGGGAGGGCCGGGAGGGTGAGTCACTGGGCGTGGAGTTGCCATCGCTGGACACGTACCGCCTTGTGAAATGCCTGCCCTGGAGCCCGGCTGCCTCCAGCCCTGCCTCTCATCAGGGGTTTCTGGCAGCTGCCCCCAGACAGTCCCACCTCTGCCCACCGGGGCTGCTGCTCCACGGGGGTCACTGTCAGAGCAGGGGAATCCCGGGGGCTGGAGGTCAGGCCCTGGGCCAGGGGTCCCAGCTCTGCCTGGCCCTCCGGGCCAACTGCGGCCCAGTCACTACGTCAGTGGGAGCCTCAGTTTCCTCGAGCGTGGAAAAGCTGCGCTAGGTAAACACGAAGTTCCTTCCACCTTGAGGGGGTTTCCCTGAGTGTGGGAAGGGACGTCGGAGCATCCAAGGGCCTCCGGAAGAGGGGTCCTGGGGGTGGGACGGAGGCCGGTCAGGGTCTCAGCCACGGCCGGCGTCTGAAGACGGGAGGTAAATGTGACCGAGACCCTGGCCTTGGGCAGCCCTGGCAGGGTGACTCGGAGCTGGCCACACCCCGCAGAGCATGCGACATCAGGACCACCTGGGAGCCGGCCCCTCGGGGTGGCCATGGGAAATAGCCGACCACCCCATCTCTGCGGGGAAAAGGTGGAGGAGGTCTCTGGGGTGGCAACTGACACCCCCAAGGGATTCAGCGGAGTGGGGTGCCCTGTGCTTGCCTCGCTGGTGAGGACACTGGGGACCTGAGGGACCCAGTCACCAGGGCCAGGCCATCCGGCTGCCCACCGGCGGGTCCTGAGCGAGAGGAGGGGCCTGAGGAGCAGAGTGTGTGGAGGTGGGGAGCGCTGGGCAGGGCCTGCCCCTCCGCCGCCCCCGCCCCCCAGCCGCTGGCGCCGGCTGCCCTGCCCCGTGCTGCCTCGGGCACTTGCCTTGTTCCTGTCGCCGGGGTGGCCCTCCCAGGAGCAGTTTCCAGCCATCTCTGGGCCTGCGGGGTCCAGGTTCCTCACGGCCCCGCTCACGGCTCGCCAGCCGGCACGGCCCACCTAGCGAGGCAGAAAGGGCCACATCAGGGCAGCGGTGCTCTCCACCCTCCCCCCCCAGACCGCTGTCCCCCTGCCCCAGGGGTCTGGGGCAGGCACCTTAGAGGAGAGGCTGACCAGCCGTCCCCCGGCTCCCTGCGGGGCAGGGCCCTGGGGGAGGCACAGGGGTCACTCTGTTGAGGCCGGTGCAGGCCACCTGTGTCCAACCCCCGCTGGCACGGGAGTGAGGCCTCCCTGGGAGCCACACGTACTTCCTAGGTCCCTCCTCTGTGCTCAGCCCACGATGCGACAGGGGTTCCCGGGGAAGCAATCCCAGAGGGCAGGGAGGCTTCCTGGAGGAGGAGGGCCTTGCGTTCTTAACACGCGAAGGTGGCTGGTCTTTCCCCTACAGCTGCCTTGAAGCCAGGACAGCTCGGTCATCATCAGTGTCACTGTCACCCTGCCAGTCCCTGCGTAATGGATGCCCGCTGCAACCAAGGCACTGTGCCAGCCGGCCACCCCCATCGTCCCGTTGGGTCCTCGCTATCAGCTGCGAGGCAGGTGCTGTCATTCCTCTCGGATGGGAGGTGAGGCCACCTGCCCAGGAGCACAGCCTGTAGCCCTGTGCACGCCTAGCTTTGCAGGTTTGCGGGTGGTCAGGGCTCCCGCGGCTGGGAAGGCGGGAGCCACGGGAGGGAGCCAGCCAGGGGGCCCTGCGGCGGCCCAGGCTCCAGGCTGGTGGAGGGGCAGCCGGACTCTCAGCCGGGACTGCAGGGCGGGTCGGGGAGGCCAGAGAGGGGGTTTCCCTGCCAGAGACTGGCCCTCCCTGCCAGGGCCAAGTTTGTGGGTCCGCCCGTGCGGGGTCCCCCAACTTGAGTGCTCCGCCTCCACAGACAAGCACCTATTCCTTGTACTGTGCAGGCAGGGAAACTGAGGCTGCATGTCGAGACGACGCCTCGCCGGGGCCCAGCCCCGGGCGAAGGCTGCTAGGCCCCTCCTGGGCAGGAGGGAGTGCTGGGCAGTGCTCAGCTCAACTCCCCCGGAATTCCTTACGGCAGGCGCGCCCCTCATTGGCTGGAAAGGGTGGTGCGGTCGCCCGCCCCTGCTTAACCCTTGGTACCCACGAGGCAGGTGCCCATGCAGGCCCGAGGACACTTGGGCTCGGACCAGGGGGCCCGGGACAGCGACCCCGCGCAGAGTGGGGGCTGCATGGGTGTCCCAGGGAGGTTTCTCGCGGGTGCGGGTGGGAGCCCTGTGCGCAAGAGTAAGTGGGCGGGTTCGTGGTGCATGTGCAGTGTGGGCTCGCAGATAGCGGGTGCTGGGGACCGTGCACCTTAGCCTCCGCCCCCTCTGCGGCCTGGACTCGAGCTGGGCCACTGTCCCCACTGCCATGGGCAGGCCCCTGCCTCTTCCTGCGCTGGGGCTTGCCCAAGCGCTCCCGGGCCTACCCGCGACTGCAAACCTACCCACTCGCCACCCCCGTTCCTGGCCCCTCTCCTCAGTGCCCCGCCCCTGAGGCCTGGGCTCCTGGCTTGCCCCCCAAGATGTCCTGACAGTAGAGAGCCCCACCCCTTCACCCAGGCAGGCCAGCAGCCCGACCGCACAGGCGCCCCCGAGGGCAGTGGGCTGGGACCTGCCCCTGATGCCTGGCTGGCACGGGGCCTGCAGCGGGGGACCCCCTCCCCGAGCTCACCTCTGCGGCTGATTCGGCGGGTACGTGCCCCCCGTGTGTCTCTGAGCCCTCAAAGGGGAGCTGTTGCACTCACGCAGAGAGCCCTAGAAGCCGAGTGGACTGCAGATGGGCCATAAAAAGACATGTGTGTGGCATGTGCATGGAACGTGTGTGAGGGACGTGTACGAGGGACGTGTACGAGGGACGTCTGCGGGTGTGCGCCCCTGCAGCTGGGATCCGGCCTGCGGCGGAGCTAGCTTCCGCTAAAGCGGACAAAAAAAAACCGGAAGCTGCCAGCTCAGCTCGGTCCTGACCCTCCTCTCAAATCACAAGCCTGACACCTGCATGGCTCCCCCGGCCTCGGGGGGCCCTCAGCCTGTCACCCCAGCGCTCCGCGACCCGGCCCCCGGCCCCGAAGCCGAGGGGCCCCGAGGAGAGGCTGTCCTCCCAGAGGTCCAGGTGGGAACCGCCGGACTCCATTCCCCAGCCTGTCTTCCCAGCCCTTGTCCTTGTCCCCAAGCTGCCACCTGGACCCACGAGCGCTGGCTGGCGCTCCCCCAGACACAGGCAGCCTGCATTTTCTCACTCCAGGCCCCCCCCCCCTCTGCTTACAACTTGGTTGGATTCAGGAGGCTTGTCTGGGGGGCGGGGGGTGAGACCTTCCAGAAGATTTCTCGAACAGCCTCCACCCTCTGCCAACTCCACATCAGGCGCCTCTGGCCTGGGAGAAGGTGGGACGCAGCTGCCCAGCCTCCTGTGCCTGCCACGGCCGATCCACCGGTGTCCACCCCAGGGCGGCCCCAAGCTGCCCGCGCTCAGCGCCCCCAGGAGGAGAGGCGCGGTAGCCGGTGTGCGTGGAGTGCGTGAGAGCGGTAGGAGCTTGGGATGCTGCCTGATGGGTGTTCCCTCCCCACCCTTCCAGGCTGGGACAGCTGCTGGCGCGGTTGGTGCAGGGACAGAGGAGGGGCCCCCGCCCACGGAGGACGGAGCAGGACCTGGAAGTGGAGGAGGGCTGGGGGTCGGGAACTGCCAGGACCCCAGGGCCTGCCCCCACGGGAAGGGGACTGTCAGAGGCCCCCAGTGTCCCTGGGACCGCCGCAGCCTCAGGAGTGCTGCAGGAGGCCCTCACGTGGTGACAGCCTTCTCGGGGGTCTCCGGGCTCCTGCGTGGGGCTGTGCGGTTTCTGGGCTCTGCTTGCCCCAAAGGCCACCTCCGCCTCCTCCCCCGCCTGGCCTTCGCCCTGCAGCCCTGCTCCTGCGCCTCCCTCCCCTGGGCCAGGGCCCCGCAGAGCTACCTGCAGGTGTCCGGGTCGTCCAGGGCCTCCCCTGCGTGGCGGGCTCCCTCGGTGACGCCCGCCTCCGTCCGCGGCGCAGCAGGCCAGCGCAGAGCACCGCCGGAGCCTCAGCAAACAAGAGCCCAGCGCGGTGGAGAGCCCTGCCTGCTGCTGGGGAAGATGGCTTTGGAAGCAGAACCCGCCCCAAACCCAATTCCAGGCCCGGCGGGAGGGGGAGGGGCGGGGGAGGAGCAGGAGGGGCTGAGCCGGGATGAGGCTTCGGGAAGGAATGCCCTGCTCGGGAGCCCCCCCCACCCCAGAGCCCCACTGGGAACTCATCACTCGCCTGGTGACGTCAAGTTGGCCGGAGCACTGTGGACGGAGTCCAGCTGTTAATCTCCTGCGCATCCTGGAGAGAGGGAGCGCCCGCTGTCCACTTGCCCGGTACCTTCCGAGGGTTCCCACCAGGCCTTTCGGGCCGGAGGGGCAGGTCCCCATCTGTGGCTCAAATGCACGGAGGGGCTGATACGGAGAAGCCAGGAGACAGCAGGTGAGGGCTGTACGGAGGGGGAGGTGCGGGCGTCTGAGAGGTAGACTTGGCACAGTGAGGCCACCCAGGTGGCACTGCACGCCCCCTCCCGCCCCGACGCTGCCCAGGGCCCCCTGTGGGCTCACAAGACCAGGAATCCCCTTCTCCCAGCCCTAATGGCAATCAGATGGCCCAAGTGGAAAATCACCGCGCGCGCCTGGGCCAAGCCGGGAATTGGCGGCGGCGGTGCCTGCTGTTCACGGGGAGGAGGAGCCCACCTCGCCCCCACCACAAGCACCCGCGGGGTCCTGGGGCAGGGAGCCAGAGCCTGGGCGCGTGCCGGCGCCCCAGGGGTGGCATGGGGACGGGGCGGGGAGGGGCGGCTTCCCAGGGAGCCCCTGGAGAAGGCCCTGCTGCCCTGGGCCAACTTTCTCACGGCCCAGGGAGCCCGAGGGAATGCCCAGCAGTGCTTTCCCTGCCCCAGCGACCGGTGCCCCGATTGCGAGTAGGTGCCTTTTGGGGCGTCTTGAAGGGAGCCCGAAATAGAGCACCCCCTGCACCTGCCCGGCGGGGCCTGCAGGCCGCTGGCCGGGGCGGGGGTGGGGCAGAAGGGGGGCTGCAGGAGGCTGGAGCTCCCGGCTGGCAGGCAACGGTGACCCTCCCCTCCTCCCCGGGGCAGGCCAGCTGGGGCCCAGCTGGACCACTTGTTTATATGGGAAGGCCAAGGGGAGGCGGGGGGGAGGCTGGAGGAGGCTGAGCGCAGGCAAGTTCCAAGTGTAATTGCATTTGGACACTTAAAAGGAATTGCGTGAAGTGGGCAGCGGCTCTGAGGCCCACGCCTTATTTGGTGTGGAAATGTGTTTCCTTCAAAACTAATGAGAGTGCTCGCAAGTGGGAAAGTCGTCCTTTGCCTGGGTTTGCTGCTATTGCCACCCGGCGTCCCGCGAGCCGGAGGCTGGGCTCCTGCAGGGACAGGGGAGGGAGCCCGGCTGGCCGGCACATGGCTGCTTCCAACCTTGGGTGGTCCTGGGCCTCGGTTTCCTCACCTGTCAGGTGGGGGCGGGAGAGACTCACGAAGTTGCACTGGGGATCGGATCAGATCCAGGTAGCAAAGTGCTCTGTGCCCTCAGAAAGGCTCTGCCCAGGAGCCTTATTTTTAATTGACCCTGCCGTGGGCCTCCCCGATGGACTCTGTGGTCCCACAGTCCCCTCAGGCCAGGACCCTCCCCGGCCGGGGTTCCTGGGGGCGGGAGGCCGGTTCTGGACAGGGCTGTCCGCTGCCGTGGCCCACGGCCGCTCCCTGGGTGACCGCAGCTGAAGTCCAGGCGGGAGGCAGACCGGAATCAGGAGATCCAAACACACGTAAAAACCCACATGAACGGAAGGCGCTGAGGCCGCGGGTGCCAGGGGGACCAGGCCGGCTTCTCCGAGGAGGTGACGCTGGAGCCCACGAGGACAGCGGGCACAAGTGGCCGAGGCGAGAGGGAGAAGGAAGGCACCCGGCAGAGGAAGGGCACGAGCTGAGGCCCCGGGGCAGGAAGGCCCGCCGCACAGGTGATGGGGGCCGCCGGGGCCGGGGGGCGCAGCGAGGGCGGGGGCGGGCGCGGCAGCCAAGCCGGGCAGGTCTGGTCAGCTCACCAGGCCCATGACCTCACGCTGCTTGTCATGTTCTCACCTCTCGGAGGCCATTTGTCCCGTCCATCAGGGGACAGGTGCAGCGATGAGGGGTCAGGCGTCCGTGAGCCAGGGCCTGCACAACGGGCATCGTTTCCCCTTCCCTGCACCCCCACTCGACAGATTCACCCAGCACATGTTTGTCTACCGAGCGCCTACCACGCGCCAGGAGCTGTTCTAGGCCCCGGGAATCCTACGGGGAGTGGAACAGATAAGATCCCTGCCTGCAGGCTGCCCATGTTCAGGAAGGAGGAAGCCGGGCCCAGGGAGCAGCTTGGTGTGTCTGCTGGACACCCCTCAACCCCAGCCTCGGGCCGGCGCTGGGGGCAGGGCCTGGCCGTGTCCACCTCTCCAGCCCTGGGCATGGGAACTTCCGGATGTGAGGAGGGCCCTGGAGCGCTGGGATCGAGCCCTGGCTCTGCCTCTGACAAACTGAGGGGACCTGGCCCTGGAGAGGGTGGCGGGGGTGGGTGATACCTGTGTCCCACGCCTCGCCCTCACCTACCACTTTAGCTCTGACGGGTGGGTGCTTCTTTGTTCTCAGGAGGAGACAGGCAAACGTGCGCATGTTCTAGGCCTCCCAGGTCAATCCTGGAGGCCCTTTGGTGTCAACCCTTGAGATAAAAATGTCTCTCAAAGGTCTAGTGAGCGTTTCTGATGGGGAAAGCTGAGCAGGACCCTCTCCTGCCCCCGCCTCCTCCAGCCAGGCTGCAGCTTCTGCGGTAGGCGCGGCATCTTGGGAGTCTCTGCAGAAGGCCATGTTCTCCTCCGTCTCCGTGAGGGAGGCTCTATTCGTTTGTTCATCCATCCATCCATCCATCCATCCATCATTCTATCCATCCATCCATCATCCATCCATCCCTCATCCATCCATCCACATCCGTCATGCATCTATCCATCCATCCTTCATTCATTCATTCGTTTGTTCATTCTTATCTTCATTCAACACGCAGTTACCAAACACCAACAATGTGAGCCCTGGGAAGAACTGTGGGGAGGACCAGACGTGAAGGGAAAGAGGAAGAGGTGATAAGCAGAAACAGGTGAACGGAAGGCTGCTGGCTGGGACCCTCACAGCGAGGAGGACGAGCAGGCGTGGCGACAGAGAGCCACGTGGTGGGAGGGGGGGAGTGACACAGGGTCCGTAATGGCCTCCGACACTGTCGACGTCCCCATTCCCAGACCCTGAGACTGTGGGACCTTCCACGGCAAGAGGGGCTTTGCAGATTTGAGGAAGTTAAGGATCTTGAGATAGGTAGATTTTTCTGGATAATCCAGGTGGGTCCCCCAGGGTCACACGGGTCCTCCCAAGACAGAGGCGGGAGTGAGCCGCGATGAGGGGGAGAATCAGGAGGTTGGGCGGGAGGCGTGATGACCAAAGAGAGAGGCCAGGGAATGCGAGAGAAGGGCCAGGAGCCAAGGCGACAAGTGGCCCAGATGCTGGAAAAGACAAGCAGACGGACCCCCCGCCCCCAGGGCCTCCAGGGGGAGCCAGCCCGGCAGCCACCACCTGGATTTTAGGCTTCTTGTCTCTGGAACCACAAGAGAGTAAGTGGGTGTTGTTTTAGCCACTACGTTTGTGCTCGCTTGTTATAGCAGCGGTAGGAAACTCATGCAGAGCGCCGGATAAGGCCTAGCGAGGGAGGGCGGGCTGGAGGCTCCTTCCGCTTGAGCTGAGACCCGCAGGGGCACGGGGGCGGAGCCAGGTACTCAGAGCCTACGGGGAAGCGTTCCAGGATAGACAAGGGCAGGTGCAAAGGCCCTGAGGCGGGAAACAGCTGTCTCTCTATAGTCAGTAGAGAATTGTGAGTGAGGGTCCAAACAAGGCTGATCGGTGGACATGCTTCTTTTCCTGTTTTAATCTATGGGGTTCCCTGTCACCTCCTCCCCTTCCTTAATACAACCCCCCAGTTGGATCAGAAAACACACATCACACCACTGGGGAAACAAGGCTTTCACAGAGGCATGTGGGTGGGCTGGGACAGGGCGGCCGGGCAGGCTGTGGCCGGACGAGGGAGAGGTGGTCACTCACCAGCCTGGAGCCAGGTGTCCGCATAGGAGCTGCAGCAGCCAGACAAGCAGCCCCGTCTGGCCGCCCTGAGCCCGAAGCAGGGGGTCTGCAGAGCCATGGCCCCCACTTTGCTCTACCTTCCAGACCTCCCACGAGCTCTGCTCCTGCGCACGCTCTAACCCTGTGTCCCCTGGGGGCGTACTCGGAAATCAAGGCACATCGCCTGCCTTCAACCATCCTTAACATTCTTTGGGGGGGTGCATGTAGTTTATTTGAGGGGTAACCCCAGGAATCACTACATGGTCTTGAGGACACGAGACCGGGAAGAGAAACGGTGAGAAATCATTCCTGCCATGCATCAAGGCGGCTGTCTTCGGCTCGCCATCGCCCCAGCCCCTGCAGTAGGTCACTGTGACAGTTCACACCTGTGCAGTCGACGCAGGTGTCCCAGGGGAGGGGGCAGAGACAGGCTGTAACCCGCAGTCAGGGTGGCTCTTGGACCGCCCCGGGGACTGGTGTCAACAACTCCTCCTGATTTGGAGGACCCGGGAGGGTGGAAGCCAGGGGTGACGCGGTCCTAGGTCCCGAGATCACCTTCCGGAGTGCCGTCCTGGCCGGCCATCGGTGCGTGTGTGCAAATAAAATGAAAGCCTGCCTTGACCCCGCTTCTAGTTGGTCACGGTCTTCCCTGGACTAAGTGCAAGATGGCAGAGTTGTTTTCAAGTCCGAGTGAGCCGGTGTCCCCTGCTGGCGGGAGGCCAGGTTTCCTAAACTTTCTGGCAGACGCCGCTGTTTTCCAGATGAAGCTCATGATGGCGAGCTCCTGGTACAGCAGTTTGATTTGGAATTTCCCCTGAGGTCTTGTTCCATCTGCCAGCTGAACAGATTGTCCTGACTGGGGGGGCATGTGTATTTCAAGTAAAAAAAAAACGAAAACAAAACCC